GATTTTACTCTTCTCTTTTCTAGCTAGCATCTTTTTCATGAGAAATCTGTTTTCATCCTTATCTTTGTTTCTTAGCACATAGGCATATTTAACCGCCCCCCCCAGCTGCTTTTATCATTTTCTGTTTATTGTCGGTTTTTAGCGAGAAGCCATATGATTATGATGTGCATTCATGGCATTTTCTTTATGTTTCTTATACTTGGGGTTAGTTGATCTGTAGGTTTATAGTTTTCATCAAATTTCATAGTTTTTCTATTATTTCTTTATTTATTTTCTTTTTCCCCCCTGCTATTATTATTTTTAAGTCCCTCCCCCCTGCTCTTTTTTGGGTACTGCAGTAGCATGTACATTAGGCTTCTTAATGTTGTCCCATAGCTTACTGGCACCCCTCCCCCCCTTAAAAAGTTTTCATTCTTTTTGTGCTTCATGTTTGATAGTTTCTGTGCTGTATTCTAAGAATTGGGCTAGTGAAAAATGTGACTTTTATGAGAGACTTGAATAGTATATAATTAAAAAAAAATTTTTAACAAGCATTATTCTGTTTCACCATGTTGGTGAAAGGCAAAGCTATTGGTTGTTTTCCTTCCCTCTGCCTCCTCCTTCCAAACATGGATTACAGAGCCTTGTAGAATAAAACCTAGGGCAAACATACCTTTAAAATATAATATGTTATGTTCTAGGTACTGCTGTGGGTAGTTTATCTCACTTAATTTTTGCAGTAACCTGAAAGAAAGATAGCAGAACCATTTGGAAATCAGGTAAATAAGGTTCAGTGCTGTATGCTTACTTGCCCAAAGAGGTAAAAGTGAAAAGGTAGAATTCCAGCCTATGTCATAATTAATTCTATGCTTAACATGGCCTCTTCACTATCTCACAATATTTTAAAATAAATAACAATTTGTTTACTTTGACCATAAATATAATTTTGAAATAGTAGTTTTTGGTGGGAATTACAATACATATTTTTGACTCTATAATCCAGTCCCTGATTACATGTAATCTAATAATTTGTATTCTATTAAATATATTTTATTCTCAAGATTCTAGGTATGATAGAACTGTGATTTCCTTTTACCTTTACCTGCTTTCACTTTCAACACTAAGGTTTGGTTGACTCTGGGGATTAGCAATAATATTGTCTATGTAGATCTGGCAACCAAGAAGAGTAAGGTCAATTTACAGGCAGTGTTAATTTATTCAATAACTATTTATTGAATATATAATGAGTGCTTATGTATCAGGCACTCTTCTTAGGATCCATCATATTTGTATTCCCATACCAAGGAGCTCACGAGCCTCAGGGAGAGGAAGCAGATACTGATAAAATAACAAGTTCATACAGTATGTCACTGTGTCTTAACTACATGATTCCAAGTGTGTTCTAGATTAAAAAATAAAAATTAAGGTCTCTTAATAGAAAAGACAGCAATATAGTTTACCTTAGTAGTTCAGATGGATAGTTTCTGTAGTTTCAATTTAGTTTTGGGACCTTAGACCATTTATTTCACATTTATAAACCTCAGCTTCCCCATCTGTTAAATGATGATAATGAACTGAACTTATAAGCTTGTTGGAATTAAATGAAGTAATGCTTGTGCCTGAAACATGATAAACAGGCAATAAACATTTGTTATTTCACTCTTCAAAAAAAAAAATATAATAACTGCTATTTCTTTGGTTACCTCTGATAGCCTTTGATTAATTATGAGTCTAAAAATTTCTGTTTGAAGTTAGAAATATTTTTTTGTTCCTAATTAATGCTATTTAGTAGGTATATTGGGTTTGCATCTCATCTGAGGACTAATAATTGTATTTGGCCATGAAACAAAAATCAAACACATTGTAGATGTCTATTTTGAAAGATTGATTAAGTTGCCTGTAAATCACAAAGTGTTTATGCGCTTCTCTAAAGACTATCAGTATAGCCAGATATCCAATTTTCTCTCTAGTGGAAAAGAAAAAAAAGGAAGGCTATATTTTACTTAGTTGAGTACCAATTGATGTAGTTAGTTTGTATTTTATGGTCAATTTACATGAATATGTATTTTTTTTTTTTTTTTTTTTTTTTTCCTTGCGTTATGCGGGCCTCTCACTGTTGTGGCCTCTCCCATTTGCGGAGCACAGGCTCCGGACGCGCAGGCTCAGTGGCCATGGCTCACGGGCCCAGCCGCTCCGCGGCATGTGGGATCTTCCCGAAACGGGGCACGAACCCGCGTCTCCTGCATCGGCAGGCGGACTCTCAAGCACTGCGCCACCAGGGAAGCCCATGAATATGTATTTTTAAGCACTATAGTGGCTCTCAGAGCAATGACATGCTAATGCTATGAGAGTTACTTAGGTTGTGAAACTGACTGAGGAAACAGGTTTGTGATGTTGGGGGCATGTATAAAATGTTTTTTAACTGTTAGAATCTTCAGCTAAAGTTATTTTTGTTAGTTTTGTTTTTTTTCTTACTAAGAAACCTGTGGTATCTTTAAAAAAAAATTATGTATATTTTATTTATTTATTTATGGCTGCGTTGGGTCTTTGTTGCTGCACGCGGGCTTTCTCTAGTTGCAGTGAGTGAGGGCTACTCTTCGTTGTGGTGTGCGGGCTTCTCATTGCGGTGGCTTCTCTTGTTGTGGAGCATGAGCTCTAGGCATGCGAGCTTCAGTAGTTGTGGTGTGCGGGCTCTAGAGTGCAGGCTCAGTAGTTGTGGTGCACGGGCTTAGTTCTGTGGAATGTGGGATCTTCTGGGACCAGGGCTTGAACCTGTGTCCTCTGCATTGGCAGATGGATTCTTAACCACTTGTGCCACCAGGGAAGTCCCTGTAGTACTTTTTTTTTTGAAACTTACAAGGTGTTGAGGTTTGTAAAAAATAAAATGTTATGGTTTTATTTAATATGACTTTGGTCACTGAAATTTGTTTAATTTTCATTAAATGCTTTCTTTGTAATACCTTCTCTTCCAAATATCATGTTTTCATTGGATTTATGGACATATTTATACTTCAGGGGTAAGCAGGTATATTCTATTAAATGACTGGGAAAATTGACCAACCCTAATTTAGGTTGTTATGTGGAAACAGCATATTTCTGTTGTTGGTATTCTACCCAGTTTTCTCTCCTTTTCCTTATTTGACACATAGAGTACTTGAATGAAGAACACCACTGTGTTTTCCTTAGATGACTTTTAAACTTTACTAGGGTTAAATGAGTGGGTTGGAAAATCTCAGGAGCAACTTGAATTATTGGAAAAAAATATTGGAAAAGTGAAGTGTCAGGTGATTTTGAAAGTGACCTGTCTGGCTGGGAAAGGTAGTCATCCATGAAGTTTAATCAGCTTAAATATGATTGTTTTGTTAAATGGGAGTGTGTTTCCTCCTGAAATTTAGTTTGAAAACGTTTTTCTTATTTGTGGATTATAGTTTATTACAATAGTGATTAGTTTTTTTATGAGATCATAATGCCTCTTGTACTTGATGGTGAAAATCTGTTCTTGGCAGTGAGATGATGTGGGGTGCAGCAGCAACACCGGGCAAGTAGCAGAAGAGTAGTAGTAAAGATTTGGTTTTCAAAACAGTAGAAGTTTCCTCTTACTCCTTTTTTCTGAACACTGATTTGCTAACAAACCTGATTTTTATCGTCACTTTCTCATTTTTAAAATTTTTCTGATGTTTTGTACTGAGTGGTTGTTAATATGTGGCTGATTTCAGTTTTGCATATTTTCAGATTTTTCACTTGTGTTACATTGGAGATTTCAGTTAGAAGTATTAGAAAATTATTTATTTATTCAACAGAAATTTAGGGCTAGTTATAGTTCAGACACCAGTTTAACAATGGCAACAAAAATCCCTGACCCTTTGGACCATATAAATCTTTTTAAAATTAATTAATTAATTTATTTATTTATTTTTGGGTGTGTTGGGTCTTCGTTTCTGTGCGAGGGCTTTTTCTAGTTGCAGTGAGTGAGAGCTACTCTTCATTGTGGTGCACGGGCCTCTCACTGTCGCCTCCTCTGTTGTTGTGGAGCACAGGCTCCAGACACGCAGGCTCAGTAGTTGTGGCTCACGGGCCTAGTTGTTCCGCGGCATGTGGGATCTTCCCAGACCAGGGCTTGAACCCGTGTCCCCTGCATTGGCAGGCAGATTCTCAACCACTGCGCCACCAGGGAAGCCCCCATATAAATCTTTAATTTCAAAGCATGTTGATTAATTTACATCTGGCATCACACTCATAGTCATTTAATTTGTCATTATTTGCATGCACCTTATATTAAAATGATTATTAAAAACTGGAAACTGTTTAAATTTGTCTTTATCTTGCTTTGTTTCCCTACCATAACTAATTATAGGGGGTGATTGTGAATCAATTTTATGGTATAATTGTACTTTTCATTTTTTTAGAAATCTTAACTGCAAAATGTAACTGTTTCCTCAACTTAATACTGGGAAGAAATCTTTTCTGTTTCAAGGTTTTAAATATTTCTCTTTTGAAAAGCAGCCTTCACCTGAATTTAAAAAATTCTTGCTCTGACCTGTGCTAGATCTGTATAATATCATGGATATAGTCCAGTAGTGAAATTGTAGTACCTTACTTCTCTCTAGTTGTTGCCTTTCAGTGATGACACTAAAGCTGATTTTAATTTCATGTCTAAGAAGTAGATTGTTCTTGTTGAAAATTATGTTGCTTGAGAAACAAGTATCTTCTGTATTGCTTACTGTGTGTCACTTAATAAATACAACTAATATGTACTTTTACTAATTGCTGCAATTTGATGCTCAGTTGTATTATAAATTATCTACATTTTTAAAAGAAATATTTGTACCAGACTCTAAAGTAAATTGTTCTTACCTGATTTTCTTAGGCAGACTGACATGTTTTTATAACTGAAACTTTCATATGTTTATCTTTCAAGTCCAATAATTATTTATTATTAATGTGCCATCTTTTTTTCCCCCTGTAGCCAAATTGTAATCAGTTCTTTTTCCTTTTACTTCCTTTCTCAATCAAAATGTTAGACTTATACAAGCACTAGCAGCAACTCTATATCTGGATCATTGAAGCGCTTGGAAGATACTGCAGCACGATTTACAAATGCAAATTTCCAGGAAGTCTCTGCGCACACTACTAGTGCAAAAGATGTTTCAGAGGCTAGAGGGTCAGAGGGCAAAGGGAAGAAATCTTCAGCTCACAGCTCAGGTCAAAGGGGAAGAAAGCCTGGTGGAAGAAATCCAGGAACGACTGTATCAGCAGCTAGTCCTTTCCAGCAAGGTATTAATTATGATATTTTAGTTGAAATACTTGTTCTTGTGATGATCAATATTAGTTAAGTTTTATAAAAGAATTTACCTTTTGCTTATAGCTATTGGATAATTAGAGATTATTTTATGATTAGATGCTATAGTAAGATTACTTCAAAGACTAGTATTCCTTCTTCAAATGTTTCTGGGAACTTTGCTTTCTTTTTGTGTTATGACCTGTGCTTCTAAAGTTGAACTGTAATTTTTTTAATGTTTAAATAGATGTGGAATAAAGTTTAAGTCTGAGGAGAAAAACAATAAAAGCTGGAGTTTTCCTTTCCTTTCTGCTCAACAGAAAAGTCATTCTAATTTATAAATTGTTTTTATTTGTCTTTCCCAGTTGAACACTAAAACGGTTAAGGTATACATTTTCAGTAAGTGAATAAGTACTCAGTAATTTTTAGGGGAGCTAAATAGTTCTTGGTAAATAATACTTGCTGACTATTAATGCATTTATTATAAAGCTTGAAGATGAAAGTAGAATTCTGCTCAGCCTACATATCTTTTGGTAATTATGGCTGCTGTATGTACAGGATGCCCAGCTAGTTTTGAGTTTTAGTTAAACAACAAATTATTTTTTTCAGTGTGTGTCCCATGCATTTATTTGGGACATACTTATACTGAAAAATAATTTGTTGTTTAACTGATATTCAGAATTAACTAGGCATTTTGTGTTTTATATGACAAGTTTGTTTTATGGAGAACAAAATAACTCAGCTAAACCTTAGAATACATTAGCCCAATATTCTAGGTTTTTATTTTGAAATAAATATGTTGAGAAATGTAAGTGCTAAAACTGTTCGAGACAAATACATTTAGTAAAATAAAGGCCTCCTCTCCCTCGCCCCCACCCCAGCCCTTTGTCCCCTAGGAGTAAATGAGGGAAAAAGTTGTCCTTTTCTTTACCCTGTTAAAGCTTTTGCTGAGAATAAAAATTATACCCAGAATTTACCAGGACATAATTTGAATATGTAGAGAGATGCTTAGTCTGCTGACGTCTTCATTAAAAAGTATATTCATATATTTTTAAACTAAGTTATTTTGGGCTTCAAGATTTTCAAGTCCTAGTTTTTTTTGTTTTTGCCTCATGTAACAAAAAGTTAGACAAGTAGAAAAGAAATGAAATGCTAAATTTGCTGTTTTATGTTTAATAACTTTACTGTATATTATTTTTATGATACTTTGGAAAACAAATAGTAAAACTGTAGTTTTTGGTTTTTTTTGTTTGTTTGTTTGTTTTTGCCACATGGGTTTCGGGATCTTAGTTCCCTGACCAGGGATCAAACCTGGGCCACGGCAGTGAAAGTGCCAAGTCCTAACCACTGGACCACCAGGGAATTCCTGTAAAACTAATTTTTAATGTAACTTCATTCACGTTTTGAATGTGATTAGCAGAATTCAGTCATCTCTTCTCTATAATTAAGGCCTTATTTTGTACTTCTAAAATTGCATTTTTGAGTTTTTAATGTTATCTTTGAAGTACTAATTCATTTAGAAAAGAGAGTTCTCATTTTCTTAAACTTCACAATATTGGAGAGTCTTTCCCTGCTTCTGTTAAGATATGATAGAGCACGTGTTATGTTTTTTATTTTTTTTTATTTTTTTTTTATTTTTTTATTTTTTTGCGATATGTGGGCCCCTCACCGTCGCGGCCCCTCCCGTTGCCGGACGCGCAAGCTCAGCACCCACGGCCCACGGGCCCAGCCGCTCCGCGGCACGCGGGATCCTCCCGGACCGGGGCACGAACCCGCATCCCCCGCATCGGCAGGCGGACTCCCAACCACTGCGCCACCAGGGAGGCCCACGTGTTATGTTTTTATATCTGAAGTAATATCCTGAAAAGTTTTAAAAGTTGAAATTTAAAGGTAGGGCATTTAAGGTAATTTTTTTTTTTTTTAATTGCAGGTAGTATGTGAATTTTAGAAAATACACATTTAAAATATTGTGTATACTAAGTGTTTTAAAGTATTTGCTATGCTGTCGTGAGCTTTTAACACCAGCTGTAAAAACAAAAATGTGCAGAAAGAAAAACAGATGGTGACAGATCAGAGTGGATAATAAAGAACTTCTTTATAGCTGTTAATTAAGTGGCAAATTGCAGTTATCCTTAAATGATTGACGTAATGTAAATGGCTTCTTAATATGTATATATTTTTTTTATACAGAAATGGCCTGAAAATGGTCACATCGGTACAAGTAATTTTGTAAATCAATAAGGCTGATATTCTCTTGAAGGAGTTAAATTTTAGAACTATTAATTTTTTTTAATGAGCCATTTTAGAAGAGCTTAAAATTTAAAAACCAAAGCCTTGAGACTTTAGTTAAAAAGAAATTATTTCTTATGTGTAGGGA